CGCCCCCCGCGGCCACCGCGTCAGCCTGCTGGCCCCGGCTGCGCAGGGCGCCAAGGTACCGGGGCGGGGGCGCAGGGTGCCAAGATAATAGGGGGTAAGGACCGGGGTGCAGAGCACCAAGGTAACGGGGGAGGGTATGGACTGGGCTGGACTCCTGCCTGGCATCTGTTCCTTTATGGCCTGGGCATGGACTTTTGCCTAGCGTCCGTCTCTCTATGGCCTGGGTGTGGGCCCCTGCCTGGCATCGTCTATGGACCAGGGCCCCTGGTATCTGCTCTTCTATGGACCATGTTGGGCCTCTGCCTGGCATCTGCCGCTCAATGGGATTCGATCCTGGCCCCTGCTAGTGTCTTCCTTTCTATGGATTGGATCCCAGACTGGGGTCTGCCCCTCTATGGAATCAGATCCTGGCCCCTGCCTGGCGTCTGTCCCTGGATGGTCACTGCATCCTTGCTGGTAAGGGATCCAGCCTCTATAGAACTGCACAGAGCGTGGGATTCTGTATGGACCAGTTGTAGTGCTTGACCATAAATTGCGGCACTTAAGCCTGAGCGGTTCCTTCCTGGGATCTAGCTATGCAGAAAAGTCCGTCCCTCTTTATAGCCCCAATCCTAGATGGAGGACAGAGAGCAAGGTAGTTTTTGCTGTTATGAGGCTGTAGTGCTCACTGGTGGGAGAGCATACCCAAGGGTTACCCTGAGGAGTCCTGTCCCTGGAAATCCGCCATGGTGCTGTGTAATGACCAGAGAGGGTTCCGTTGGTGGTCTGCCTGCAGGCTGCATTTGGGAAGCAGAATTAATCCCTTTCTTAACTAGGCTGTTTAAGAGTTTTGATTCTGTTACTGTAAAGAGTTCACATGATCTTTAAGAGAAAGGAAAACTATAGCTTTAAGTGTACCTCCTTCGTGCTTCAGATACCTGTTAAGCAGAAAAAGCCCTTCATCTCCCAATATCTGAAACAGTTTACCTTACACTTTCCAGAATGACTGGATTATAATCACTGGTTGGAATGTTTCAGATTCAGAGAAGAATTTTTCAGAAACAGATGAGGAAGTGAAAATGGTGAAGGAAAGAATAGTTATAATATTCATAGTGTTTCAAAATACTAACTCAGCACTCTCTAGTTAAAATACTTAGATCCTCATTCTCCACTGCTTTGTGTAGTCATTTACTCCTAAGTAAAATGGTGCTAAGTGAGGTCAAATGCTGCTAATGATTCTGAGAAGCTTACCTGGGTTTTGAAGGGTTTTTTTTCAAAGACTTCTTTGGTGGACTGTCTGTACACAACACAATATATGGGCACAAATCACACATCAAGAATGGTAACATACAAAAACCATTGAGAGAACATTTAAACCTCCCTGGATACATATTTACAGATTTGAAAGTTGCCATCCTCAAGCAAAATAGCTTCAAAACCAGGCTGCAACGAGCTGGAATTCATATGCAAATTTGACACCATCAGAATGGATCTAAATAGGGATTGGGAATTACTTCTTTAGGTATTCTCACCTTCTTATCCACATCCACCCTGAATAATTTAACTCTGATGTAACACTCCCATGTCTGTTCCCCTATTATCTGTTTCTTTTTCTTTCCTTTTGTGAATCTGATAAGGAAGTTGCAACTCAGAAAAGCTTATGCCGTAATAAAATTGTTAGTCTTTAGTCCCTGTTGCTTTTGCTGAAACAGACTACGTGGCCCTCTGAACAACCTGAGAGATTCAAGTTTGATGTGTACTTTGCACCAATGTAAATGGCTCTTACATGGCCTTTGACAATGGAGAATTAATCTTGTGTACTTTCAGCACTTCTGAAGGTCCATCTGCTTACTTTGATGCGGAAGTAGGAGCTTGAGCTCTTATGAAAATCTAACTTCTGAGTCCTGAATGTGAGTGCTGAGCTTTTTGGAGCTTTTGGCCCTAAATATCTAGCCTCTGCTGACATCTGCTGGTTTCTTGGTGGAGATTTCAAGATCCAGAAGCTATAGATATCTGATGTTTAGTGATTGCCGACAAAGACTTGCTCTTGGCATCAGAGAATGTTATCTGTGTAGCCCTCAGACATTTACACTCATCCATACAATACAGGAATGACAATATATCAGAAACTGTTCTAACAGCCAATCTCACAACAAGCTTTGTTGTGTACCGTGGCAGAGGAAGTACGCACAAGCATTATCAGTTTCCTTGGTCGTCAAGAGGCTAATCTGAGGGCAATAAGTATGGGTCAACTTGTTACAGTCTGACTCAGTTAAACTGACTAGAACCCAAGTAATTTAAAGCAAGGTCAGGGCTTGGATGTGCCTTAAATACTATTGCTTCTCATAATACCATACAGAAAAGACAGAGTCACTTTGAAAGTGTGTTGTACCCACAAAAGCTCATGATACCATATATATGTTTTATTAGTCTTTAAGGTGCTGCTAGACCATTCGTTGTTTAAGTTTTTCCCATTACAGAGTAACTTGGCTACCCCTCTGAAGTTTTTGGCGATATTAAGCTATGTCTACACTACCGTAGTAAGTTGACCTAAGGTATGCAACTTCAGTTATGTAAATAACAGCTGAAGTCAATGTACCTTAGGTTGAGTTACAATGGGGGATCTTCTGTTGACTTATCTTAATATGTTACAAAACATGTAGATAAAGTAACAAAACATTAATCATGAGATTAGAAAGGACTGCAAGGGACATTTAGTCTAACCTCCTGCCAAGGTTTTGATTTGAGGAAGTGGGTCTGGCCCACGAAAGCTCATCATCTAATAAACCATCTTGTTAGTCTTTAAAGTGCTACATTGTCCTACATTTTGCTTCTGCCAAGATTCAGGATTTGTTGTGTCTAAAGCATTCAAGACAAATAGCTATCTAGCCTCTTTTTGAAAACCTTCCATGAAGGAGCTTCCATGACTTCACTAAGCCGTCTGTTCCATTGTCCGACTGTTCTTATAGTAAGGAAGTTTTTCCTGAGATTTAATCTAAATGTGCTATGCTGTATTTTGAACTCACTGCTTCTTGTCATGCCCCATGGCAAGAGAGAACAATTTTTCTCCATCTCTTATATGGCATTTGAAGACTCCTATCATGTCCCCCCTTTAATCTCTTCTTTTCTAAACTAAACAGACCCAGTTCCTTCAGCCTTTGCTCATATGCCTTTCATTCCAGCACTTTAATCATCTTTGTCACTTGCCTCTGGCTCCTTTCCAGTTTCTTTACATCCTTTCTAAACAGCGGTGACCATCTTATTTACAGCATGCTCATAGTTGCCTGCCATAAACAATCCCACTGAGCAACAGGGCTGGTATATAAAGGAAAAGATGCCAGAATAAATTTGCGTAATCTCTAAATAAAATTCTGTTATAGTACAGCCTCTATGCTACGTCCTAGAGCAGAAAATATCTATTGCAAAAGTCCCACACACGTTCATTGCATTTTGAATCCAGGCGATATAATAGTTCCCTGGGTTATTTTGCAAATGAAATGTTCAGCTGTGATCTTTTATCTGCTAAAGGTGTGCAGCTGGTATTATTATTATTGTCTGAACAATAATAGAGATTTAAGGGTGGGAAAAAAGGCGTTTCTCTATGTCTTGTCAAAGTGATACCAGCTTGTAAGTGTCTTATGAACTTTGCAATGCAAGAAATAATGCAGATAGGCTGCTTAAATTTCAGATATGAGACCTACTTAACAAGTATTAATATATACCTTCTCATGTAAACATGTGATTTGGGCAGTTTTTGACTGCATTCTTCAGCTGTAGAGAGAGAAATTTATAATTACAGTGTTTGTAACCATTGTTTATGACCAAGTATGTATTTTATTTTACATGAACAGGAATTCATGACAACATGCTTGAAGGAGCTAGAATTGAAAAAGAAACAGGAATTCGGCAATATAAGACATATAGAACAAGCTGTTAATGACCTTAAGGTAAAGTGGAAACTTGCTTATTAATCAGGAAGTAGCCTTCAGACCAGACACCCCCCACACTGCAGCCTAGACAGCTACTCAAGCCACAAGCAGGGTTTTCCAGAGCAAAAATAAACTTGCTGTAAAATTTTTGTTGTAAATGTGGTTAACTTTTCTGTTCCCAGTATTTTGCTACCTAGCAAAGGGCTTGTCTGCATGGGAAAGTTGTATGGCTATAAGATAGGGTATGACTATAAACAACTGTAGTTATGTCAGTATAACCATCCATGTGGACACGTATAGAAGAATGCCCATATGCAGATTAGTTTATGTCACTTTGGGAGGGTGTCCCAGAGGGTAAGCTGGAACTGAGGTACTGCTGAGCCCTCTGTCTTACCAGCTTGGACTCCCTTCCACATTGTGACAAGCTGCACTTCATGGGCAGGGACACGCCCATCCGAGTCACATGAATGCTTTTGCCAGCCATTCATGAACCAATAGAGAAGCTTCAGCCAGTTCCGTCAGCCTAGGACCTCTGACCTGTATCATCTTTCCCTCGTCAAAAGCCTGCCCAGTGTAAGATTATTACCCAATCCACCCTCCCTTAATGTGGAAGGAACATGCACAGCCTTTTTTGTTAACTGAGCAGACTTATGGAGTCTGCCTGCTGTCACTCCAGATGTTGCTGTTAAGGGCTAAATTGTGATGCCCTTTCTCACTGTGAGTAGTATTTTACTGCGTGAGTAGTCCACTGAAGTTAAATGCTATCTGTGAAAGTAAAGATATCACAATCTGTCCTTAAGCCTTTTCACCCAGGACAATAGCAGGAAAACCCCAAACCGACTGTACCACTTTTGTAAAGGAAAACTACACATCAGGAAAACTTCGTGGGATTGTAACTTTTAAAGTTTGATGGTGAAACATTGGAGAAATGTATATGTTCTGGATGTGTCTGCCATTCTGTTTTCTCTGTAGGCCCACGCCTCGGCTAGTAAAGCATGTCTGGCAGGGAAGTTCGCTGAACTCCGGTTACTACTTGATGAAGAGGAAAGGTTGACAAAAAAATTCATAGATGAAAAGACTCAACGGGCCCTCATGGTGTATGATCAGCAGATGGAGTCATGTCAAGAACGAATTCAAATCGTAGAGAGCTTCTCAGACAAAGTCAGGCAAATCCAACAGCAAAGTGATTCCATTCAGTTATTACAGGTAGCACTGTACTCACTTTCTGCCTCTGACATTTTTGGGTGGACCACTTTGGAGGTTTATGGTATTTGCTTCTGTACATATTATTATGAAAAAATGGCTTATACTCTTTTTTCTGCCTATTATTGCCTCTCTGTTTTGGTGAACAGTCTAGCTCCTGCCATTCCAGTTAGTAACTTGTGCAGTCATGGTTCCATCTTTAGACTAAGTTTAGAATTGGGGGGTTCTTGCAACAAATTTTCAGTGACCTGAAAGTTCAGCCATCAACTTTTGCAGACGGTCACTCTGCCCAGGTCTACACTAGGCGATAGGTTTGAATCAAGATATGCAACTCCAGCTATGTTAATTGCATAGTGGAAGTCAACGTACCTTGATTTGAACTTTTATGCCATCCAAGAAATGCTCCCATTGACTTCCCTTACTCCTCGCGAGGAACAGGAGTAGTACCAGCGTCGATAGGCGTGCCCTCAGTGTTCAATATAGTGGGTCCTTACTAGACCCGCTAATTGAATGCTAGAAGAATGATCTCTGGAGTGTCAAACCGAAGTAAGTATAGACATGGCCTCTGACAATTCTTCCTAAAATACTCAATTAACTTTAGAAAAACAAATACATATGCACAGCTACATGTCCAAATAATTGCAATTTATTTATTTAGGTATTTTGGTGTTTTTGCAAACTCAACAGTAAAAAGAATGTTCAGTTGTATTTATTCTTTACTGGACCTAAACTGAATAGAAACATGCAAAGCACCTTATTTGTGTTCTTGTCTTTGGTTTCTTTAACTCCTCTCCCCCTCCATTTTTAAAGGCTGGCTAGCTAGCTGGGAGCCAATGAAAAGCGATATTAACAAACATATAAATATCACCTTTTATAGCAGACTTACTCAGCCCTGGCAAGCTGGGGGACAAATTAAGCCCTGAATGGGCAGGTGGGTGGGGAGGCAGCAGGGCCCATAGAAGGGTGGGTGAGAGGCAATGGAAAGTGTGGGGGGCAGTGGCAACGGGAAGGGGGCTGAGCCTGTACTGATGCCCAAAGCCTAGGCCCCATAGTGATGTGGGAAGAGGGGGTGAGCCCAAAGCCCGATCCTGGTGTTTTGCAGTGGGAGGCGAGGGAGCCGCCACTGTGCAGCCAAAGCCTAGGGCCAGGCGGTAGGGGGTTATGGGAAGAGGGGTAGGACTGGGAAAGGGAGCCTGTGGCTGGACCCCAAAGCCCTGTAACTGAAGGGCTGCCACCTGCCCCCCCAAGGGCTGAAACTGGAAGCCTGTGCCCCATTGCGGTAGTTCCCCCCCTCCTCTTGCAGTCACCACCCAGGATGCTGTGGCTGGAAGAAAAGCAGCATTTGAGAAATAATGGTTTAGATCACCTGCTTCGTTGCCATTAAATAAAAGAGAGGGGATTAATTAACTCATTTTTTTTTCTATATCCCTATACAAATTGACCCGCTCTAATCCAGCATTCTCTGGTCTGGCAACATCTGTGGTCCGACATGATTTTAGTTAGTCAACTGTCCACTTATTATGGGTGTGGCAAAGTTTCCTGCGATCCCATAAAGTTTGTTTACAGCCCCCAGTTCTGGCTCTGTGTTCTGTGCTGTTATTTAGCTCTAATTTACCCCTAATGTCTTCTAAGAGCCCAGTGAGCAGTGGAAGTTTTGGTAATGTTACTAGGCAATATTGACTTCCTGTGGTCTGGCAAATTCTCTGGTTCGGCATAAGGATGTTAAGTATCATGTAATTCACTAATCAAATAGTTGATGTGTTTAGGGCGGTGCTGCCCCTTCAAAATGCTGCGGCAGTGTTTCAAAGTGGCAGCATGGCACGGAGCCTGGGGTCAGCTACGGACTCCAGCTGACCCTGGGCTCTATACCCCAGGCTCCGTGCAGCGCTACTGCTTTGAAACATCCTTCTCTTTTCCCCCCTTGCTGCCTCTAGAGAAGCCTGAGAGAGCTGTGTGTTGAGGTGTTCTCTTCACTTACACCACAGAACTTCCCCAGGTGATATAACAGGGGTGGCCAACCCATTAAATGAAGAGAGGCGAAACAGCATTAGAAAAAAATGCAAAGAGCCGCAACCAGAATTTTTTTTTTTTTTTTTTTTTGGAGCAATGTTTTTAAAGCAAGCAAAAAAAAAAAAAAAAAGATGCTGCCCCTTTAAAAGAAAAGACAAGGCCTTTTGGCCACATCAGGTTCCCCTGCCCCGGTGAGCACAGGAGGCCAGGGACTTTTTCTTGGAGCGCAGGGGTGGCGTCGTGAGCCATGGAGGAGACTTTGCGTGCCACACTTTAAGGGGGGGAAGAGTCACATGCAGCTCATGAGTTGCGGGTTGGCCACCCCTGTGATATAAGCATCTTTTCCTAGAATGCGAGGCCTAAACAATCACCTAATGGCAAATGCTAACTGTATTTCTTGCATGGTACTCTTCACACAACAGCACAAAGAGCTGAATAATTCTGACACAAATGCAAGAGGACACTTGATGTCAGTTGCTTGGGAAGGTCTGTGTTACGTTGTTACATTTTCAATATACTCCTTAGCCTGACTCAATAGGTTCAAGAATTCACCCTGTTCTGCCTAACATGGGTAAAATGAGCCTAGTGGCCCCATCCTTGTGCCAAAGGACAATGTTGTGTGTCGTGAAACCTCACAACCAGTATTCATGGTAGGACACCCAGATTGTTGCACTCTGCAGTAAGAGCCGTGGGTCAGATTTTCAGAAGTGGTCGGCCCCCACCAACTCCCACTGAGAATAAGAGAGAGTCATTCCCCCTCTCCCAAATGAGACCAGTAGGAGCTGGTGAGGGGGAAGATGGAGGCCACTGAACTCTAAAAAGGCGATAGGCCAGATTCCCTTCAGAATTCAACATTTCCCCTAAGATTAAAGTAGTAGCTCTGCAGCACCACAGAACTCCTTATACCGGGATGCTGGTTGGCTGCATCAGCCGTGGGGCCATTGCTATTGCACTAAGCAGCCCAAACATGGGGAGAATAAAAGGGTTTGGTTATTATGGACAGTAAGTTTTGCTGATTATCTTTTATTTAGTCCTGCTTGCTGGAGAAAGTGCAGATTTGTGGCTCCAGCTCAGCTTTTGAGCACAGGCGAGGGGCCAGAGAAGGGAGAAACATCTAAAAGATATTGCCTGACTCTAGAATTTGGTCTTCTGTCCGCAGGACTACACAGCCACAGAAAAAGAAATCCAGGAGCAGAGGGCTCCAGCACAACAGTGGCACCCAGTGCCTATGTCATTTGAACATGTTCTGAACCATACCAAGGGTTTTGTAAGAGCTATTCAGTCTATTGTGCAGAAACCATTGGAAGCTCGACTTAAAGAAGGTACCTGTAACAGTGCTGTTTTGCAGCCTCATGCTGTTGGCACACTCTTTGTTCACTGGTGGCATTCAGTAGTGCTCGCAGGCAGACAGGCACCAAAATAGCCAAAGGTAAATGCAAGTGAAGTTTTACCCACTTCTCATTTGGCAAATAAGGAGTTTAGATTAGCTTATCCACTTTGCCTCTTACCTCTACACCATTGCCATGTAGTCAGAACAGCCTGAACATGTATTACTGTTGCTAATTGTACATGACACGTGCAATGTGTGTGTCTGTCTATCGCTGGCAGTTCTGCAAAACCTCATTGGTCCTGAGTTTTCTGTTGCTCTATTTAGCCAAACTTAAATCCAGGTGGATTAGATAAAAGTTCAATTTCCCAAAAGTCACCAGGATAAATGGTTCTAGCCTGGGCCGCTGCCTAGCCAAACACTACTAAAAATAGGCACTTAAGGCACATGGGGCAGGGAACTCACAAGTGCCTGTTTCTTCAGTGAGAGGAAAGGGTGATGAGTTACTTAGCCCTTCAGAATGAGAGGGCCAGCTCACAGAATTTACTGCTGGGAAAGACCTGTGAAAACATCTGGTCCTTCAGTAGTGATGGAATTTACAGTCTCTTTGGGGTGACTGTTCTACAGTCTCACTGTCAAGGAGTTTTTCTTGACAGCTCAAATTTCACTGTTCCATTTTGTTCTGTTGCTCTTGTAGGGCCCTTACTATTTCCTGTCTGTCCTTAGGCCTGGCCATGTATTTGTGTGGCCTCCCTTTAATTCCTCTTGACTCAGTCCCTTCAGTGGCTCGTGTGAATAGTAATGTAGAACCCATAAAATGTTCCATTAGTTCAGATTATTCCCAGGATTTCTTTGCAACCCCTGGTGAGTGTGTATGCAGGTCTCCCTCTGTGCCAATCAATAGCGAATATGAGTTGTTACAGGCTGCAGCTATGGAGCAACCCATCTTTTCAGCTTTGAAAGTCTCTAATTCAGTCCCCATTGGCAGCCATCACAGATATACTAAATTGTATCTGCATGTTGTCTCCTGTATCGTTTAGGAATGCCTTATATGCAGCTGTGTTTGGGCAAGCAAGAGTACCTTAAGAAATGTATCTCCTCTAGCCTTACTACTCTAGAGCAATTGCTCAGGCTCATTTCTCCTTTATTTCACTGCCATTCTCTCTGGGACGGAGGTATAGAGATTATGCCCTTGTAAGTACTATTGGAGTGATGAATACATGCCCTTTCCTCCCTTTGTTTTTTTCTATATAATGTCGAGCTATCTGTATTGACATGCTAGATGGGACACTCATCCTCCAAAACTTCACTTGCCATAGCTTAAGTAATGTTGTCCGTGTCTGTATTCCATGTTCCAGATGACTGGATATGCTATACACAGTGAGAGTCCTCACTAGCTTTCATTTTGGATCAACTCTGTCTTCTGCCAAACTGTTTATTAGCCGGGCCTCATTACCGAGTTAACTGAAAGGGCTCCCAGTCGTCTCCTCCTCTTAGCATTGTTATTTGTGGTGTTATTTATTCAGTGCATTGCAATAAAGCCTGCGTCCCAGATGGTAATGGACCTTTTTTTATGCCTTAGACATTTTCAGTAGTCTTAATGCCACTTCAAAGAAGGAGCCTGGTACGTTGCTGAAAACAATATCCACGGTGGATCGATCACTATTTTTAAAACGTAAGTAACATGAAATCAAACTTTCCTGTGTTTCCAGCACTAATAACCAAGGCCAAGATTTTCAGAAGTGCGTAGACAAGTTTGGCTGCCTCCATTTCTTTGTACCTAACCTGAAACATCTTCAAAGGGGGCTGATTTTCAGAAGGGGGATGCTTAGTACTTTCAGAAAATCAGACCTCTCTATGGTGTCTCATGTCAGGGAACAAACATTGCTGTCACTCTTGAAAATCATGTCCATGCATTTATATGTATACCTGGAAGAATATGAATTGTATCTAATGTAGCTTCTTTAGACATTTATACTCTGTGCATCTCCATGAAAATTTCCTGTCTTAAGGCTTGTCTGCACATGAAATTATTCTGGAATAAAGTAGCATGTGAATTAAAAGTAATCCAAAATGGATTTAACTAATTCAGAAAAAGGCACTGTTATTCTCAAAGAAGAAACTCCATGTGGGACTGCTATCAGGAGTAACTCCCCACAGAAACAAGATTTTATTTGGTGTTGATTTTTTGCTGGTTCCCTCTCTCTCAGAATGGGTAGGAAGACTATGAAGTAAATTGTTCTAATTCATTATCATCAGTACTGTTGTTGTGGGAAAGTTCTGAGTCTTGGATCCTTAGGAGAGATGGTGGGTTTTGTGGCTATGAACCAGCCACTAAGAAACAGCTGTCTGCTGCTATTCCAAGTTTCACCCTGGCTGTTGAAAATTCCATTGTCCTTGATGGCAGAAGGACAGAATAGCCTGGACCCAACCCACTTTGGGCCATGAATCCCAGAAGCAGAACCTTGAATCCACATGGGGGCGGGGAGGTCAGGATAGTGCTGGGAGTGTGGATATGATATGCTCATGCTGTCTGTGCTGCTTAGCAACTGGATGGGCTGTCATATGCTGAATTAGTGGAGCAGTCTTGGAACTGATGCTGTCATCCTAATCCTCCTGTTGCACTGCACTAGCCTGTTAGCCATGACACTGTGGATCTCTCTGGCTAACCTAGCATCCAAGAAATTACTTGGGCCTGCCCAGACAGAGATGGAAGAGTGAGTTTCCAGCAGCTGTTACTGTTTGGGATCCAGTAACAGTGTCAAAGCCCCTCTATTGAGAATATCTTCTTGGGTAATTCTCTTTCCATTTGAACCACTTCTGTCTTGCCTGGGGTCAGGATCATCTAGCTATTTTTCATCTGCACACTGATCTTGCTTAGGAATTGAATCTGCTAGGAGGTGTTGCTCTGAGCACTTGATATTAAGGATAAGCCAAATTAGGTGTTGTAAAGCAGTGATTTGGACCTATGATTTGGGTGATGGGCATTTTGCATCTTTCTATTTCAAGAGATGTGTTTGCAGAGTCAGGAAGACAACACTGCATTGGTTTGCATTTGAGAAGTTACTTTTGCAGTCATATGGGCTAGTAATACAATTTCCTGTCTACACATAGCTGACAGTGATGGGTTGTTAGTGAAGTTTCCATGCTCCACAGGCTGTGGGATTTGTAAAGTCCTAGTTACAAATAATATTGTGGATTAGTAAAATTCTTCCAGTATAAGTAGTAATACACTTTTTTTTCATCAGTAATGCAGAAGCAAATGAAGTTTCTCCATTTGGAGAATGAAAACAGTCAAGCTTATTTTGTTTTTTTCTAGTCAATTTCAGCACCTTTGCTTAACCTGCATTGTAATGTTGGTTTGTTTTCTCTTTTTTACACACACACACACACACACACACACACACACACACACACACACACACACACACACACACACACACACCCACACAACACACACACACACACACACACACACACACACACACACACACACACACACACACACACACACACACTTTTCCCCATGGAAATATTTACCTTAGGTTTTACATTTTTTAATCTAAAATTTTGACACACGTTCGACCTGACATTATATCCCTTTAATTATTTTTACAGCTTCACAAACTGTAACTAGACAAAGACTAACTAGATCCAGACTTCTCAACTGCTCCTCCTTTTGAGGACCATCATCCCTTTCATTCCCAGTTACCTACAGACTATACAAATTTGGCATCCCTTCATTGTTGTTGCCAAAAATTACTGACTTCAGCAATTTAGACTCATTGAGCAGTGGTTCTAGAGCAGGCATGTCCAAAGTCCGGCCCGCGAGCCAATTGCGGCCCGCGGTCAGATTTAATACGGCCCCCGCTTCTCCCGGCTCCCTGGTGTTCCTTTCAACTGGCGCGCACAGCGCGCCGCTTCGGGCCGCGCTGCAACCGCAGTCCTAGACCCTGCCCTGTAGGGCACGTCCGCAGCCCTGCTCCCCCGCTGGGCTGCGGGTTCGCCCTGCTCCTGGGCTGCAGTGAGGCCGGCGTGCCCTGCGCTTTCCGCCCGCCTCCAACCCCGCGGGCCCTCCGCCTTGGGGCTGAGAGTGCGGGGACGGCCCTCACGCATGTTCACGTCTTCAAATCTGGCCCTCTTTGAAAAAAGTTCGGACACCCCTGCCCTAAGCCAACCACCCCCCATGGTGTAGACCTGGCCTAAATCATGTTAACAAGCACTCAGAGCCTGGGTCCTAAAACCCTGTTGGGACTTTAGCTTCTGACCCACCCCCTATTGTTTTGCATTGTTGATGCAACTCAAGCTGTTACATCCAAGTCTGAAGGTTGATGTAGGGCAGTATGAACACATTAGCATGGCTGTGATATCCTGGACCAGCAATTGCAAGGCCAGGTATACAGTGCAATGAGGATGCAGGTTTAATAGGCAGCAGATTTAAAACAAACAAAAGGAAGTTTTTCTTCACTTGGTGCACAGTGAACCTGTGGAACTCCTTGCCAGAGGATGTGGTGAAGGCTAGGACTCTAACATGGTTAAAAAAAGAGCCAGATAGCCATCGATGGATCTAATCTCCATGAATCTATTAGCCAGGATGGGTAGGAACGGTGTCCCTAGCCTCTGTTTGTCTGGAAGTGAGTGACGGGAGGAATCATGTAAAGATTACCTGTTATGTTCCCTCCCTCTGGGGCATCTGGTATTGGCCACTGTCGACAGACAAGATACTGGGCTAGATGGACCTTTTGAGAGTTATTTACACCAACCAAGTGAAGGCTTCCACTGGCTTGTTACTGCAGGAGTAATTTTTTGTCTCTCTCCTCTGGCATCTTAATCACAAATTTCATCACACATTAGGGTCTCGGTAACTTAATAAAGCCAGTTCAGTCTCTTTTTGTTACTAGTGTTTCACCACTGGGTGGTGGTAGAGACTGCCAAGAGGAATTGCAATAGATGTATTTTTATAACTCTCTATTTATTAAGATGTTTTTAAGAAGTTTACAAATCATTACCATGTAAATATAAGTTTAACAACCATAAATGGTACAGGTCAGCTTCTTTTTCTGTTTAGAGAAACATTCTGCAACAATTAACATTCATTGTGGGCAGATTTGGGGGGGGG